GTATTAACGAGTGTGAAAAATTAAATTAATAATATTTACTTTGCAAGTGTATTCAATGTTTGGTAATCTAATTTTAATGTAGCTTGACATTGTCACGTAGAATGTGAAAAAAAGTGTAAAAAAGTAATGTATTATGAGGCAAACGTAATGCATAATGATTGGACGCTCTTTCTTTATTGACACGAACGACAATGTATGCTCATAGCTTGCAAATTAAGAAGCTATTTTAAGCAATCATTGCTCAAATTTAAATTGCTCAAGTTTAAACTATTTTTAAGAATACTTAACTGGTTGTAATAGAGAATTGTAGTAAGCAATTTTGAAATTAATTGTGTAAACTATGTATATAAGTCTTAGACGTATCAATTCTGCAATATTACATTTATACGTGATCTCATTGAGACTGTATACCTCGACCACGACAAATTAAGTAAAAATCAAGTTATTAATACGAAATTACTGGACAATTATTTCCAGATAGAGATGACTGAGATAAAATTGTGTACGCATTAACCCTTTGCACTCCGAATTCTATTCCAATCTTGTTACCAGCTGCTCCCAATGCTTTTAAGTGTTTTATTTGAAATTTACGTTGTATTTTGTAATTTTCAAGTGTATATCTCTTTGATTTGCAGAGGGTTAACAGCCATTTCGTCGAGTCTAAGGATTAATACTGAATTTTGTTCGAAGGGTCCCGTTCGTCGGATATCCAAATCGCGAAACGGAAGTGGAGGACCGTGTGTAGCTCTAAATCGAGTGACACGGCAGTTCGACTGGCCGTGAGACGTAGACACGATCGGAAGCGAGACAAGACGACGGGTCGAGACGATCCGAGACAGAACAAGATGAAAACAGGGCGAGACGTTTCTCAGGAAAGAAAGCTGCCGATGGAAAAGAAGTCGATCCTTGGCTGGAACTCGACTAGAGTCTGACCCGCTATATATCGCATCGCGGCCCGTTCCCTTGACAGAGAAAGAGGGGAACCGGAGAGAGGGGTGGGAGGTAGAGACGCGGCGTACAACGAGCGAAAAAGAAAGAACATCGTCTAGAGAGTATAGTCGAAAGAGGGCAACGCGTCCGGCGCGATGACCTACTATCTTCGCTTCGCCTCCTCGGCCGTGTATAGTTAACGCCGAGTCTGGTGTCGTTTGCAACAACCTCCACGCGATCCTCTCCGCTACCAAACGTAACAGCCATATTTCATTCCGTTTGCTCCCTCCACGACTTGGGAAATTTATCAAAAACACGATCGAAATCAATTATAAAAATCGCGCCGTTCGTCTACGAAGAGATGCTAGTTCGAATAAAAAATCAAATTTCTGAACCTTTCGAATCTTAAGTTTAAATAATTATTTGGAGAAATACAACTATGAGAATAAGTTCAAAATAAAGAAATAAAAACAAAATATTTTAAATTTGACAAAATCTTCTCTACGGAAGACCAAAAACTCAGGTCGAGGTGTTTGAATATTCACGATTATTATTATTATTATTATATATATTATATTATTTTACGTTTAAGTTTGAATACGTCGGATGGCAACTATTTAAATTTGCAATTTCAATATTTGGAGAAATACAACTATGAAAATAAGTTCAAAATAAAGAAATAAAAAAAAAATATTTTAAATTTGACAAAATCTTCTCTATGGAAGACCAAAAACTCAGGGCGAGGTGTTTGAATATTCACGATTATTTTACGAGTTCTGGAAACATTCTCCAATTTTAGTTTATTTTATTTATTTCTGTAACGAAGGATCGAAGTTTTTTTGCGATATAAACATTGAAAAATCATATTGCAACGGATATTTCCGATTTTCCGGGGTAAAAATAATGTAACGCGTAACAAAATTATCGAATCGACGGGATGAATTTTGTTGCGAGGGCTGGCAAATCTCGTCGTTCGTCAAAATATCTGTGTCCATCGGGTAAAAATACGCGGCATTGTCGGGATTTAACGGCGCCGTGGCGAAATTTAATTACTCCGCGCTAAATAACGAAAACATCGCGTTTCATCAGTTTGAATTTATGATTCGTAAAAGTATCGCGCGCGCTACACGGGGAAATTAATTGCATTAATTCCGGCGTCTGTTTACACGAATATTGGAAAAACGCATTGATGCACGCGCTGCGGAATTACCCCCGTCTGCCGGGGTGGAATGCACACGCGGGACGGACGCGTCGTGTATTATCTTGCGTTTAATCTTTTCCAACGCGCAGCGTCGACGTCCCTGCAGACGGAGCTTTCCGTTACCAAAAAGAAACGACGCCAGACCATCGGGAGAACATGTCGACCGACGGGGGGACGGGGGGCCTCGGTCCGATTAAACAATAAAAGCCGGCGAAAAGCACGGCTGCAAATTTTTATTTTTAATACTACGATTCCATCGACTTCCGATCGAATAACCGCGGAAATCTGTTCGTTTGCCGGGGAATAATCCTCTGCTGGAAACGTCGCAGGAAGGTATTAACGAGCGTATTGACAACTCCGGGAGCACCGATCCAGTTGCAGGAAAAATACTTCATTTTCCGAGACGCAACATCTCCGTGCTCGACAGTCGCGGATAATTAACAGAATATTCCGATTCCTCGACGAGACTCTCGACGAGACTTTAATCCCCGGATAACTGATCGAATTTTACCCCTTTATTTGTAATTTCTCATCGAAGTCATTGAATAATTGTTATCTGCAAGTATAGTTTATATCGATTTGTAAATGGTGACCAAAAGTGAGAGCATAGTATATAAAATTATTACTGAAATTATAACTGTCCTTGCTGAGGAATCGTCTAATGTTTCGTGGAATTGGGATCCAGAATATAGGAGCTAAAAAATACAGAATTGACGAACCTTTAAGACTCTATTGTTTGTCCATATCAGATTTTCAATTTTGTTATTATCTATCAATAATGCTTGATACAAACATCAACAACTATAGTTGACAAAAACGACTTTAATGCAGGTGAAGCCTCCATATAGCTAGTCGAGTATGTAATTGCTGTTGTAATCGATGCTTTCGAACAAAGTATCATTATCGATACATTGAAAGATAATATTTGATTGTCTACTGTCCAGAGAATATAGTATCGTCCAGTATTTTATGGATAGGAAGAAATGGAGGAATGTTCTCGTTTCGGAATACATAGTTCGGGGTGATAACCGTTTCATTGAGGCTTTTACCTCGAACCGATCAGTGCCACAACAGACGACAATATGTGGCACAGAAAATGCCCGCGGCTACGGTGATTCCTCTTAAGTATTAACGTCGCGTTGGTATCAACCGACACGTGCGACTCGCGAATAGCGGTTTACCCAATAGGCGTTTAGGCGTCAATGAAACGCGCTCGTTCGTTTTCTTTTGGAACAAAATTTCTTTGGTCAATTCTCACTATATTTGAGACTGTCTATAAATGTCTGAACCTCCTTAGTTTTAACAAAAACACAAATTGTGGACCTCCGTAACCAATATCCGGAATAATGATTTGATAAAGAGAAATTTTTATACGAAAATATTTGCGTGGATAATCTGTCGGGTTTGATCGAGGTATTCGAGGACGAGGATTCGCATAAACTACCGACGATCGTGCACGCAGCGTGACAATGCGAGGGAAAGAACGCGGACAGACGCACCGATAGAGATTCACCTGTTTTACGCAGCGCGGTATAACGGTGACCGTACACGAGCTGTCTGTCACTTCGAATGAGGAGAACAAGCCACTAACCGCGGAGTAGTAATCTCCGTTCGTTCGACGGTAAATTGGTGCTCGTAGATGTAATAATACCGATCGCGGCAACGCACGATTCGATTATTCGCCAGGGCGCAACCTAAGCTCGAAGGAAACTAGGCGATGCTCGTCGCTGATGTGACAAGAATCCTTTTCTACCAGTAAAATTTAATTGGACGGGGCCCATCGAAACTCTAGACCACAAACTCCCGTGGGAAAACTCACGATTCTTCTAATTTTTACCCAACGATTGTCACAAACAACACTACGTACGAAAATACATCGAAAATTCTCATAATTACTAAATGATCGTTGTAACCGGGCATAGGGAGATTCTGTGGACAAAAATGGATCGAAAACGTGGAATACAATTTTTCGATAGTGGACTATGTTTCATAGAAAATTGAGTTTGAAAACTCGTGGGTCACGCGACTTACGCTTGGCGAACGTGTCTGACCATTATCGACTGTTTCTACTTGTAACGGTTCTTATAAACACGGTGTTACGATACTACTTGCATTGGGCTATTTAACTATTTGAGACTAATTAAAACAGACAGTGCCCTACGAGTTTTCTGAATCGATTTTTTCAAAAATGAAGTATGAAAAAATTGTATTCCACATTTTCGATATATACGAAAGTTTCAGACTTACACTGGAGAATAAAGACTCTAATAAACGTGGAATTCGAGGACATTTGTTTCACAGACGCAGCCACTGTAAATTACGGCATGACATGTGCGTGGAACTTCGAAATTGGCATAGGGAAGTAGTATGAATAAGCAGGAGCATTAGTGTTGCTCGAACGCGTAAGCTTCGAACATTTGTAGTGAAACTGTAGTTGTTCGACAAAATAAAAAAACAGAGAAATGACCTTTTTAAAAATGTTGAGCTTTTTAGCTTACGATACATCCAATTATGATTGGCAGCTCGTAGGAAGTGTGTCTTTAACCCTTTGCACTTCGAATTATATTTCAATTTTGTTACCAGCAGCCCCCAACGCTTTTAAGTGTTTTATTTGTTGTTGTATTTCGTAATTGTCAAGTGTACGATATCTCTTTGGTTTGGACTTGAAAAAATGTCGAATCACACTCGACATAGGAGTGCAAAGGGTTAATTCACGTTTCAGATCTTAATAACCGTCGTAACAACGCAGTACTGCGATCGAAGGGATTACTTATTTATGTAATGTATTTGTGCCAGTTCGTTGTTCCCTTGTCGAGCACCATGAAGAGAAGTCGATACGTTTAGCAAACAGTCGTTAAATTGTACTTACAGCCAGTAGCAATGGCAGCAATAAGATTAAAGCCGTCTTCCGTATACTCCGCCACGTCCACTCCATCATGCGTGCGTCCTCTCTGGAAATGAAAAAAAAAACGAAGCTCGCTATCAATGCGACCACACTGGGGATCACGCGATTCGACGAATCGATTTGCTCCAGGCGACGTATTAAGTTTTATGGAAATAATATACCGCGGGAACGAGTAACACCGAACGACTCTGCGCACGTTTCTTGACACACAAGAAAAACGTCACGTTCGAGAAAAGATGTTATTTACTTTCGAACGATTCGCGTTGGCCAGAGAGTTTCTCGATTCGAAATCGAGGAAATTTAATCCCGGGGACCATCGAAGCCCGTAAATTCAACGGAACCAGCGGCCATATGTCGAACGTAACGAGAATTCGTAGCGTTTATCGCCCAGTCGAGCGGTCAAGTAGCGCGCGGCTGGTCGTCGCACAAAGGACGTTGCGCAATGAGCATCCAAAACCGCATTCTGCGATGTCGAACTTCTTAATTAAAAACTCGCTCCGGGAGGACGCGACGCGCCGAAAGAAAAAGTTCGACCAGGCCCCCCCTCCCGTCCCGGCCGGGGAAATTCAATCTCGCGAGATTCAAAGTCTTCGGGCGGAGAGAGAGCTTCGTTTCTCCTGAAATTGGCTACGAAATAAAGTTTAACGGGGATAACGAAAAAAAAGAGAGAGAAAATAGACGAAAAATTAAATTTCGCGCACCGGCGCCGGGAACGGGGGAAAAGCGCCCGGTAAACTCGCAGTTTGAATAAAGTCGGACGTCAAAGCGACGGATTATTAAGGAGAGACTCGTAACGGTGGCGGAGGAAAGCGCGAGGACGCCGAGGGGGGCAACGATTTCCGTCTCGAAGAGGTAAACATCGAGCGGAGGACGAACGAGATCGATGCACCTTTGTCGAGTCCCACGTCGAAGCACTGTCACCTACAAGATCCTCTCCCGTGCGTGTGTGTGTGTTTTCGAAATCTTCGTTTCGTCGTGTCGTTCGGCCCCCGCCTCTGGTGCACTGCGCGGGTCACACGAAATCGCGAATCGCGGCGTCAGTTGGTCATCGTCGGGCCCGGGCGCGAGCGGTGCTTCCTTATTCCCGTGGAAGGAGAAAGGGGGAACTCTCTGGCTGTCTGCCGCGACTCGACGGGGCCCAGAGGTGGCTACCTTGGCCAACGGGGACTGACTGAAGGTGCAAGCCACGCTCGTCTCGGCCACGAGCCACGTCCCAGTGACCTACTCACGATCTCGATCGTTCCTGCTCTACGCTCACTCCTCCCCTTCCTCCTTCCGCCTTATGCGTCAAGTCCCAAACAGGCCCACCGTGCTCGCGCACCGTGCCCCCCACCCGTTTCCTTCGACCGCTCTCTGCCACCGTTTCCATTCCTTCTTTTTCCTATCGTCGCGTCACTCTCTTTCTCTCTCTCTCTCTCTCTCTCTCTCTGTACCGAGCACAGGTGAAAGACACTCCGGAGCTGAGGCGCGAGAGTCATTAAATGGGGAACAGAAAGCAGAGAGAGAAAGAGAGAGAGAGAAGCGTTTATTTCGGTGGTCGTTGTTCTTTCGGAAGGCGCGGTGAATTTTGATGGCTCGTCTCGCCCCCCCGGTGATTACCGCGGTGGATATCGTAAATTGGAGACAATTAGGCGCTCGTGTACTCGCTATTTTTATTCAAGGATCCTCAATTTTATTCGTTTAACGTACTTGTTAAATATTGTTTTTAATGCCAGGTACGATTTGTCCTCAAAGAATCGGGAAAATTGAGATATATCTTTTCAAACGAACTGAAATCTATGGACTCTATTTTAAGCTGGAGACACTACTTTTTTAGTTGAATAGATAATGTAACAAATTGTTGTGTGTGTAATTTACAATGAAAATAGACCAATTTGATGACGTAGTTTGAAAAGAATTAATATACTTATATCTCCTTCAACGTCACCTTTGTCCAAGTTCCTCATTAGAAAAGATTTCCAACTACCCTTGGATTATAATACACCATTACCGGGAAAGGGAGGCTGCATCCCCTATTTTGAAAGACACTTACATAGAGCTTAACGTCGAAACCAATAAGTCTGACAAATCTGTTGAATTTTACCCCCCTGAGTTAATAATAACTTCCAAGTACAATTTAGCTCAAATTACAGAGTTCTAATACCCAATAATAATAATGAATACGTGGCCATTTAAAAATCACGATACTCTGCTATACAGATATTAAAAAATTCAGAAAAATTATGTTTGCTCCGAGAATGGAAACGTTCTCGTATTCTAACGGGCAATAATTTAAAGAAACCCAATAATAATAATAATAATAATGAATACGTGGCCATTTAAATGGCACGATACTCTGCTATCCAGGTATTAAAAAATTCAGAAAAATTATGTTTGCTCTGCTATACAGATATTAAAAAAAATTGAGAAAAATTATGTTTGCTCCGAGAATGGAAACGTTCTCGTATTGGAACGGGCAATAATTTAAAGAAACGGTGTTAGATGGTAACGCGAGGCGTTTCTTTCCGCATCGAGTAACGTCGAACGGAGGAAGTTTCGTCCGTCTGACGGAAAGCTTCGAACTCGGGTGCAGTTATGGTGGGAAATGCGATTTCGCGAGGAAACTCATTTACGGGAGAGGCACGTAGGAAAACAACTGGCCCCGGTGCGTAACAATATCGCCGCGTCAGCTGGGCTCCACGGGCGCAAAACGCGAAGGAGAAACGCCCGGGAAATATATCAGTTGTCTGTCACACGCAGGTGAAACGAACACGGGGATCGTGACTCGAATAATGGCGCCTAAAACCGCTTGCGTCCGTGGTACGGGCTAAGGAGCCAGACAAACGAATCGACGATGGAATCGTTTCGTTCGGCTAGGTTCGATTTCAATAAATCGCGAGGAGCGGAGGAAACCAAAACGAGGGCGTGTGCTACTCTCCTATAAGTCGAATCGTCGACGTTCCTACATTTTTCTCCGGCGACCGGATAAACGCGTTGCCGCGAGTCTGAAGCGTAAAAAAAAAGAAAAGAAGGAAACGAAAATCTCGATCGTTTTCCGGTCGGTTCGTTGAAAAACTGTGAGGAGAAGTAATTTTTAGAGTATTTGGGAGGGAAAAATGATAAGAATGGAGAACAGAAATTGGCGACAAAGCGTTTGGAAATGTAAGAAATGTGTGTAATATGCGATTGTGGACACGGTTCGTTGAATCATTTAGTGGAAGATTGTAATGGGGCAATACTGAGATAAAATTGAATGAAGTTGGGTGGAAAGAATGAGGAAATAACGGAACGGTTGACAACAAGAGTAGCACGTAAAAGAAAAGGAAATGAAAAGTAGGAAGGTAAATAAAACCGAAGACAGATATTTAAGAAAGTAGGATACGCTGTAGGAAGCGAGATAGGATAAGTTGATGTTATTGTACGAGACTGGAGGTGTAAATATAGAGTAAAATATACATATCTGTTCGTTTCGCAGCCGGAAGGCAAAAATTACTAATAAACTACTGGTTGCGTACAGAAACGCTTTATATATGGCTGCATCAAAGCGGAACGAATCTCTTGAAACACCTTGTAACTATATCATCTGAGAACCAAAACAATCATTCGAATAGAATGTACTTGTTTAGGCAATCGAACATAAACATTTGTTTTTTGAAACTGTCCTCATCAAAAGAAAGGCTTTTACAATATTTAAACATATTATCCACGAAGAGGGATAACTAGGATAATTACCATATATTTTTATTCCAATTTGTCAAGGCAATAAAGAAGCAATTTTTAAGGAATAATATGCAAGACGAGTTCTTTTGTTTCCCCGAATAAGAAGGTTCTTTTTACTTTCCAATTAGAATTTGAAGACCAATTAGAAACTCTCGTCGACTAGTGAACACACGACTCTGCTCGAAACAGAGGCAAATAAACCTTATCCCAAACAACATTTAAAGCTATCATTTTTATTCGTCTCGCGGTCGTCGCGGCGAGAAGTGTATGATTAGCATAATTATCGTGCATCTATTAATTACAATATATCGGGGAATGTTAACGCCCAGTCGCACTTATTATAAAACGCTCCACTTTCGTAGATACGGGAGATCGTCGAGGTGATAAATACGGTGCTACGGTCCGCTGCACGCGGAATGCGAGACGCGTTTAATTGAAATCTCCAAGAATCTGGGCCCCGAGACCCTCGAAAGGGACAACGGAAGTGCCCTTCGCGACCTTTGCATAACTAGAAAATAAAGAAATTCAATTATCAGAAGTAAACATCTTATTAAACAAGAGAATTCAGAGAGATTTTGAAATTAAACAAAATTTCCCACAGTTGAATCGTTTCCTATTTTATTATTTGAAAGAATCCCATAATAATGAAATGGTAAAGGAACCACAACAAATTTTAAACGAAGAAGAGCGTATATTTAGTCACAACGACTCGGATCTCGATCCAGAGTAGGTTAGTTAATGCGCGACTTTCACAACACCTGTGGCAAAGCGTCTCCTCGATTTTAGGCAAAGCGATTCCTCCAGCAACCAAGAGAACCATTTGCAAAATGGCCGCGCGTCGAACACGCGGTGCAACTTAACCGTGCAATATTTGGCGAATGATACGCGTGCATTTCAAAATAGTAATATCATACACTCGATCTCTGCTATTTCAATTTTATACAAGAGTCTATCAACGTAGTTCTCTCTTAAATTATTTCAATTACAACCCTTTTGGTAGATCTCTATGTACGCTACCGCGACCTAATTCGACGCTGGTCGTTTTTCCTGTCCCCGTTCGACCGTGGAAGTGGGGCCTGCATATTAGGATACTCCCTCTATATTCGCGAAAGTCGTAAAAACGTCAACGAAGGAGAAACGTTCACTCGCACTTTCGCTTATTATCTACCGTTCGGCGTTATCCCTGCGTGCAACGACTACCATAAGCCACTTCCGGATGGACGGGTTAACGCCATGCGGGCGAGGAATCTGGGCCAGACCGCCGGTTCGCGTTTCTAGTTCTCGGTTCTTATCGGCCGCCGCGTTACGCAAATCCCCGTACGCGATTTCGAGATGCGAAAACGAAAG